TGTTTTTTCCAAACATTTACTGAACACAAACATCATTTTTCCTTTTACACAGTAAGATCATTAAGTTTCAAATTAGCTGAGCTATTAGAACTGTCAATTGCCATGAAATTAAAGATGATTCTCCATGTCAAACTCAAATAGGAAACGCCATGCAATATATAAAGCACTAAGAGACCGCTGGTGTAATCAGCAAGTTCACTATGTTTATTAAAGTCACATAAATGGCTTGACAAAAGTGCACGAGAGAATGACATCACTGGCTCGCTATGAATCACAGTAAATTACTAGAGGACAACAATGCAGTCCCTCTGCATGGAGGTCTGCAGGCTGGGCTGGCTATTAGGAAGGGCAGGATCTGCGCAATGGGTTAGGCCAGGCAAGTCTATTCCCTACCACGTACCGCTGAAAAGACTGGTTAGGGAAGCTGAGGCTTTTTCCCTCATATTTTCTCTGCCAATTACTAAGCAACCACGAAAAGGCCATGCACAAATTTTACAACACCAGATAAAGAATAGATACAAAAACCTGTGCGCTGCCCCACTTGGCGAGCTTGATCGTTGCTCCTTGTTCCAATTAGGCCCTTCATCACATGACTCACCCCTAAAGGAGAAGCTGTTAGGAATTTAGCAATATTCACCCCTGCACACAATCAAGAATCACCCCATCCAACCACTGTCCTTTCCCTACACAGTAACACAAAAGTGCACTCTAGGACTAGGCCACGTTTACTTTACAGTGTTAAAAATTAACATATCACCATTATTAGAGCAGTAGCTGTCTCATGTCTATTTTGGGGGGAGAGCAGGACACAGGACAGCTCAGCCCATCTGGAGGTTTGGGTGAGTCTAACGGAAGTGTCTCAGAAAGCCCTGCAAGGTGGTGACATACATAACAGGGCACTTTACTACTCTCAAGAGATGACCTCCAGAACAAAGCTGTGCATTTTCAGATAGGAATGAACACGGCTTAAAGTGTTGGGGACTAAAATTTTTAATAGAGCAAAAGGAGGAGCTTTGTGTTCTATAACCCCTTTAGTGTTACACATATAGTAAGTAAGAAATAATATTCACTAGTGCACCGACATATCCGGCTGGCCTGAAAAGGAGTATTTCAGTTTTACCAGAAACCTAAGAGCGAGGCTTGGACTTGCATCCTTCTACGCACTGACTAAACAGCCGGCTGCTTCTAAACCTGCAAGCTGTACCCAAGGCCCAGCAATTCCCCATGCCACCCATTCCACCAAAAAACAAACTCTCCTGCTTGAATAATCTAAATTAGTCTTATTCACAAAGTAGCTGCCTCAAATACGGTGAAAACTTAACAGGATGCTGTTTGCTTGAAACTTTCAAAAATATTTATCAAACAGCATTGGCAGGTAGGGAGACGCTGCCTCCAAATCCCGCCTTGCTCCAAGCAACGCCATCATGCCTAAGGCCTCATACTTAGCAACTGAGAGTCAACTGTTAGGAAAGTAAGATAAAACTCCTCTCAGAAACAAGCGAGACCAGAGCTTGCCAGTGCCTCTTGAGGAGTGTCTATCTCAAGGCTGCTGGGCTTTGGCCTTCCAGGGCGGAACCAGCCGACACGGTGCTGTCAGCTCCATACTTATTAAAAACGTCACCCCTTCTTTATCAACTGAGGGGATGGCTTTGCTGCCCACTCCCTGACTTATGTAAATGCAAATTATATTTCACCACTTCCATTAAAAGCAGAGAAAACCCACTTACATTTCACAGGATTCATAAACGGAAGCATCCACCTGAGCCTGTAGTTACTCCAGATTTATATGACAGTTCCCAAGCCAGGACACAGAAGTCTTAAGCAAACCTGTAGCACTGTCAAGGAAGTTACAACTCAAAGCATAATTCCATCAGCAATACACACCACAGGTGAAAGGGCTACAAAGCGAAGACAGCTTCATGTTATCACCAAGCTGGGATACAGAACTAGCTCACCTTTCTCACCTATTTTCCTTTTAAAAAAAATTACGTTTATAAAGGATTTGGCTAGAGCCGGGGAGATGGCTCAGTGGAATAAGCGCTTCCCTGGCAAGCACAAGAGTCCGAGTTCAATCCCCAGCTTCACAAAAAAAAAAAAAAAAAATTCCTGTCTATAAAGGATTTGGCTAAACATTTTTTAAAAATTCTACAAAAACAAATGTAAAAAAACAGACAAATATGTAGATCAACTCAAGAATGGCTTTATCTTTCATAATGGACATTTGAATTGATGCTACAAGACAGAATTAGGTCCTTAGCAGGACAGTACAGTGTGGACCACAGTCTGTTAAAAATCCAGTTACCATCATCAGCACAGTTTGCAGCTTGTTCTGCTATCTTCACGCTTCAACTTCGTCAGTATCTCAAGCAGCAGGACTTCCGTTCTCCGACACTGCCTTCCCTTCTCCTACAATGTCATTAAACCGATGTCTGCATATGTACATGCGATTATCTTCACTTTATGAATGAGTAGTATCTAAAATAGTGCTGGCCCTGAACAGCCAAAGGGATGATATATATTATGAAAACATGCAACATCACCTGATACTTTTCAGTTTGGGTGTTTAAAATCACATACATCACAAATGGAACCAACTGATCACTGAGTACTGAGCCCTTCCTACAGCGTCAAATATGCAGGCGTTATAGTCTGAAAAAAAGAGCCTGACCTGAGCCGTGAAAGCCCTGGCTCACTCACCTGGAGGAACTGTATTTTCTCTTTCAGGCCAATGAGTCGCCAAGAGAAAGGTAAAATATTTCCCTGATTCGAACCAGGAAGATCAAGGTCAGTGATATCCAGATTAGGGTGTTTTTATTTTTTGGTAGGGTTTTGTTTTTGTATTTTGTTTTTTCTTTGAGAAAGGATCTTACTATGTAGTTCAGGCTGGCCTCAAACTCACAGTGATCCTCCTGCCTCAGCCTCCTGAGCGCTGGGACTGCAGGCTTTCACCACTGTGCCTAGACCAGGCTCATTTTAATTAATTAATTTAATTTGTATGTATTTTAGTACAGGGTCTACAGGGTCTCACTACACAGACTGGACTCACAGTGATCCTCCTGTTTTCAGCCTCCCAAGCACTGGGATTACAGACTGCTGTAATCTACCATACTCAGTCTAAAGTTTTTATTTATTTATTTATTTATTCAGGGCTTATTTTAAAAACCTCCATTTAGGCCATCCTGAAACCGCTTCTCTTAAAATGTCAGGCTGGGCAAATAGAAATCTATCATCATGACAGAATTTACCATCAAGACATTCCTGGCTGAAGCAAGAAGACACACAGTAGAAAAACAGCAACTGTATCATACATCCTTGGTGGAAGTTTTTAAAGACCCCACTTCCACCTAGCAAAGCATTTCGTCTTACGGGTTATCTCTATTTAAGGCCCTAGGTGCTGATTTTGGCTTGGTCACTGTTTTAACACTGAGCCAACTGCAACCTTTTACTTATAATTTACAAAGTAATATGCATACCTGAAATGGTAGTTGAAATCTTGCATTTTAAAGTTTACAGCTGATGTCGCTACATTGTTACAATGCTTTTTGTTAAAGAAAAAAAAAGCTGCAGGTCTTCACTTACAGTACCATGCACTATGAGTAGCTAAGGCATTCATTTGGCACTAGAGAGAAAATTAAGAGACAACTTTACTTTCATTATCATTTTTCGCATCAAAAGAAACAGGTGTGTACCTCCTGCTTGAATTCCTACTATTCTTTAATCACAGAGTGCTCTTTCAGTTGATAGTTTAAAATGTTACTGTTAAAACAAGAAAACATAAAGACCTCTGTACAGCTTGTTGGAATAACTGACATCTTGGTAGAATATTTTGCAGCTCCATTAAAACACCTTTCAAGTAGCATTGAGAATTGTTTTCATCATCAAAAACACTCAATTTTCATATACAACCAGCCTAGTGATTTTTCTATCTCTTACAATGGACTAAAAA